TTTATTTCACACATACATGTACATGTAAAGCACTATATGTACATGTACATATAGTATTATTTTATTACTGTTGTTTAACATGTATAGGTATAATATATCAGGGAGAGCTTAAGAAACGTAACGATAAAGGAGATTGGAGCATGCGATTCTGTCGCCTCAAGGAAACACAGTTTTACGTCTACACCAAAGAGACTGATAAAACTCCAGTCACTGTATTGGCCATACTGGTTAGTATATACATGTACACACTGTGTGTGGCTAATTGAAGAATGCACTATTATCACACGCAAGTACATATACCGTATAGCTGGAAATATTTGCTGGAATTTAATTTTGCTGTTTGCTGTTCATCATAAAAACGCACAATTTAATTCCGCAAAGCATTATAAGTAATGGGTGTATCAACAGTACACGCCTACACCAGCAAAATTAAATTCCACAAACATTAAAATTAGCTATATGGGTACAAATTGCAAAATATAATTCCCGCAAACTTTTCCAGCTATACGGTACATGTATATATGTAATTATGTATAATAGAACTTATATTATTATTACCCTTAAAATTCAATATTAACAATCTCTTGTACATTTTTATTTATCTATTTTTCCTTTCTTGATACAGCACTGTACTGTGGAGAGGGTTCCACAGCCCCAAGAGGGCGAGAGGTTTGTCTTTAACATCTCTGTCAAAGGAGGCAAGACTCACGTCTTTGCCTCCTCAAGTAACGATGATTTGTCAACATGGCTGAACAAACTACAGGTAAGAGATAGAGAGAGGGAGAGAGAGAGAAGAATTTTTTTGTCTTCTAAAATAAAACGAAAATGGTTCTTGACATTTTAAAAATTATTTTTGTATCTAGGAGTGTATCACTAAAGGACTTTCATCTCGTAACAGAGCAGGCTCCATTAAAGACAGACCAAAACAAACCAAGAGTCCCTTACTTGTAAGCACACACTACACTACATAAGGAATATCAATGACTACATGTATACACAGACAGTACATGTACATGTACATGTATGTACATAACATTGCATAATAGTATGGATACTTTAGCATGCATTTTATATAATGACTTATATCATATCATGTGTACATGTACATGTACAAACCTTTTATATTTTGTATTCCATACAGACCAGCCATGAAAAGGGTAAATCTGACGATCTTGTGAGTAACGTCCCAGCCAGCGACCTGGTTCGTCCCATTCACTCCGGATATGCTGAAATACAAGTAATATCCCAGCCACACTATGGGAAAGGAGGGGCCAGTTGGCAGAGATACTGGTGTGTCCTCCACGAGAATTTGTTGTATATTTATCAGAACCAAGAGTCTAAGAGTACAGTCAGAACTGTCATTGTACCAGGTAATAATCATCATCTTCCTTCCTTTCTTCTTTCATTCTTATCTCTCCTTCCTTCCCTTTCCCTTCTTCTTAATTCTCCCTCTCCCTCTCCCGCTCTCTCTCCCTCTCCCGCTCTCTCTCTCTCTCTCTCTCTTCCCCCCTCTCTCTCTCCCCCCTCTCTCTCTCTCTTGTAATTACAAATGTCTTCTTAACTTCACTGTGCTTGATTGACATGTCATTTTGTGTTCACTCATTATCTCACGAGTAGATCAAAACTAGCTTCTATAGCTTTCCTTTCAAGTCATTAATTACTTGTTGGTCTTGTGGTCCAAATACAATTAAAATAGATTACATACATGTGTAATAAGTAGTCCCTAGAGGTGTACGCTGATGGAGCATGTTCACATCATATGAAATACATGTACAATACATTGTCACCTTCAAATTGGTTATGCATAGATTTCCTCAATGCTCACGTGGAGCTAGCACACTTACTGAGCATGTGCTTTTGTAGGTCACAAGTTGGAGAGTTTAGGTTCTCAGGGAAGGAAACCCTTTGCTATCAGTATGTCACAGCCTGAGTGTCCCACCATTAATCTGGCAGCTGGTGATCAGGTTGATTACACTCGCTGGTTCATGGCTCTGGAGAATGCATCAAAAGCTGATTCCGACGTGACTACAAGACAAATGAATGAAACAAGGGTCAGCTAGAGGGGGAGAGAGAGAGAGAGAGGGGGGAGAAGGGGGAGAGGGAGAGAGAGAAAGAGAGGGGAGATGGAGAGAGAGAAAGAGGAACTTGAGGAAGAGATTTGAGAGAGAGAAAGAATGGGTGATGGATGTAAGGAGAGACATATTTATTTATGTAAAACAAAAAAACTTAATTTCTTATTGATTAATTTATTTTCTCATCATTGCAGGCACTACCAGAGATACCACAGCCTCAGGTTTCTTCTCAAGTTGCTAGTCTCTTACAGCCTCCACAAGAGCCTCCTCTGACACAGCAGGTCTACGCTGAGAGAAGGGCCTCAACTCTCGCTCACTTTGAGAAGAGGATACGAAAAACTCAAAAAGTCTCCCAGACAACAGAAGAGAACTTGAACAAGCAGTGCGAGAAGCTACGATCAGCTCGAGAGAAATTCTCTGAGCACATCAAACGACTTGAATCGGCTCCTAACAGCTCTGAAACTAGCATGAAGAAAATCAAAGAAATGAAAGTTAAAATGACCCAGATTGATAAAATACTGCCTTACCTTGACAAGTATGTGACTGTCAACAGACAGGCAGAGCTACAGACCGTCGCCATCCTTAAAGAAAGCTGCACCGTCAAGCTACAAGAGATTGACAACAAGTTTAAAAGGAAAATCAGCGCCCCGGTCCTCAGCAGGGGAGGAGGAGGAGGAGTTGGGAGACAAGAAAAGAGTCACAGTCTGCCTCTCACCAGTGGCTATGGCATGAATTCCTTATCAAGACCAAGAAAATCAAAGAAAGGAAGAAAGACAAGCATAGAGGAGGAGCAGCCACAAAAACAGTCCAAGCAGTTACAAGAGGCAGCATCAGTCCCTCATCAAAGTACAGCACCAGTTTTACAAGAGACTACACCAGCTTCACATGAAAAGGCACCCACACCACTGGACAATACACCAGTAGCACAAGATTCGGCTCCTAAAGATGTAAAAACTGAGACTTTCCCCGACATACCACAAGAACCTACCTATGACGTGGTTCAGCGTGTTCCTGTGAAAACTCCATCAGCCGCTCCTCCTAGTGAACATTACGTTGAGTTGTTGCACCCTCGTGTTGTAGGCCCCGCCCCCACTGACCAAGCACCAATACAATATGCAACGCTAAGTGAAGCTAAGCCAACAACTAAGGCCGATTCTGTTAGAGGAGGAGAGAGTACTGATAATGTTAAAGAGGTAGAAGCTCCTCTGTCTTTTACTAATCTTAACAGTGGAGAGAAGGATATTGATGACCCTTTGACTGTCTCTACTGTTAGTGAGACGTCATTGAGTCATGTGATTGATGATCTCTTTGAGGAAATAGCATCACGTGAAGCATCACCCCTCAAGAAACCACAGACTAGTAATAGTAATGTGCCACCTTCCTTTCCTCCTCCTCCTCTTCCTGAATCTCCTCCTGTTACTGAAGCTCCTCCTCCTCCTGTTACTGAAGCTCCTCCTCCTCCTGATAAAGAAGCTCCTCCTCCTCCTCCTCCCCCTAAATCTCCTGTTACTGAAGCTCCTCCTCCTCCTCGTCCACCCTCTCCTCCTCCTACAGAAATTTCTCCCTCACCTGAACTTGTAGCATCATCTACCCCTCCTCCTCTTCCTCCTCCATCAGTACCTGCCCCTCCTCCTCCTCCACCTTCAGTACCTGCTCCTCCTCCTCCTCCACCTTCAGTACCTGCCCCTCCTTCACCTCCACCTTCAGTACCTGCCCCTCCTTCACCTCCACCTTCAGTACCTGCTCCTCCTCCTCCACCTCCACCTTCAGTACCTGCCCCTCCTTCACCTCCACCTTCAGTACCTGCTCCTCCTCCTTCGGTATCTGCTCCTCCTCCTTCAGTACCTGCCCCTCCTCCTCCTCCTTCAGTACCTGTTCCTCCTCCTCCTCCTTTAGTATCTACCCCTCCTTCTCCTTCTGTATCTTCCACACCTCCTTCTTCTTCTATACCTACTCGTCCTCCTCCTCCTCCTAATACTGCTACAGCTCCAAAGGTATCTCCTCCAGCAACAACCCAGACTCCATCGTCACCAATTAAACGACCCAAAGCACCACCTTCTACTAAACCAAAGCCAAAGGCCTCTCCCCCTGTGGTTACTTCTAATAATACCTCACATCCTTTATCCTCTTCTCTTATAACTGTGCATTCACAGTCTAAACCTGATTCCACTCCTCCTCCTACCAAGGCCAAACCCAAGAGACACAAAAATGCCGTAGGAGCTGACACATCTTCCACACCTCGCTCTCCTGACCTCTCGGCAAGAGAGGAAGCTGCACTCGTTTCTAAAACTACTAGTAGTCTAGCTGAAAGAATGAAGGTAAGAGAAACTACATGTACATATAAATGAAGGAGATAGAGGGATTTGATTCCTGTAAAGCCCAGCATACACTACTACACTACATTCAACAATGTTGCTTTCAACATTTGTCCAACCTTTGATCAAGCTTTGATGTAGTCAAGCAACATGTTGCCTTGGAATAGAAAACCTTTCTATTCCTTTCAACAAAGTTCAAAGAAAGATCAAAGGCTGGCAACATGTTGCCTGTAGTGTATGTTGGGCTTAACTAATATGCTTCTATTTTATTCCATTATTTTTGTGTGTTTTTAGGCTTTCCAGTGATTCAAGGTCACACTGTTAACAGAACTCTCACATTTTTCTTTGATTTAACAGATTTATGTTATTATTGTGTCATTTCACTCGTGTCGTGTTTTATCTCTAAAACTATTATCTCATGATTATTATTTTTTGATTATTAATTATTATCATTATAATAACATTAACCTTTTGTTTTGTGCCATTTTTAAAATTCAATGACTAACTATAGTATTATGACACGGTTCAAATGTAGTGGTGCAATTCCTTTAAGCAGGCTCCATTTTAGCACTAGTATTGTGTCTTTCCTACTAATGTTGAGTCAACAGGATAGTATAATGAATTCCTACTAGTCATGCAGTGGAGTATTCAACTACAGAGGCCATTGTAATTATATTGACCACATAAGGGAATGCTCTGACGTACACAAAACGAACCCTTTAAAAGACAGATGCACATACACTTTGCTTCAATCATTCCTATTTTCAAAAAACATCGACAAGTATCAGACTGATCATGTATTCTGCTTCAGAGTGCTTTGATTATATTGACAACATCACAGCAGACAAGCCGAGCTATTTCTTGCTCTTTCTCATATCTCCAGTCGATTCAACTGTCTGGGGTCCAAGACCCCAAGGATGGTTGCAGTCTTTCATTGGATTCACTGCAATATTCAGCTTCATATTCTTCTTCATTGGACTAATGTCAGTTATGCTGATCATCAAGCGAGACTGTGCCAGACTCAAGACCAAGACTTTCCTAGCTATATACATATGTCTAGCAGTTCTTGGATTCACTCACACTATCCACCTATCACTGGATCCTAATGGAATACTCGGCTGGATTGTATCGGAATTTCCAGAATGGATCATCATCTCCAGGTTCTTGCAAGTCAGTGGATTCCCTAGCATTACTGCTACCTATACACTCGTGTTCATCACGCTGTACAAGTCAGTGGAAATTGGCTCATCTCGACTGTGGCATCGAGACTGGAGGGTGGTCACCATACTAGTCATGAGTCACTATTTGGTTGCTTATGCCTCAGAAATCATTGCAAACGTTGGTGGATACTTTGCACTAGCAGCAGTCATCATATGCGAATTCGGTCTTGCAGTCTGGGGCATCGTCACATGTTTGATCTATTTCTTCACCGGTCGGAGGTTGCTTAGAAAACTAAAGAACCAGTGTCAGATGAGCGTGCGCATGTCTTCATCTGTATCTGCAAGAGACCAATGTCATACAAGGAAGCCTCGTCTGCAGGAAACCCAAAGTGTGCTAACACATGAGCACTACTCCAGACAATACAACAAAATATCACACACTCTTCGGAAAGTAACCATCATAACGTATTTCACGTCAGTTCTGACTGTACTTTATGCAACAGTCAGTTTAGTATCGCTGTTCTTCAACTCGTGGTTCATATTTTATGACTGCATTGGTCTGAATGGAGTCGGAGACCCAGTAATGTTTCTCGTATTGAGAATAATCAGTAAAACAATTGAGATACCGTTAGCTATGACAATGCTTTACTCTGTGACCGATTTTCAAAGTGTCTTAAACGTGATGTGTTTCTGCTTCTCTTGCCAAGATGAGAGCGAGGAATCTAAAAATAGCACTGTATCACCACCAGGCAGCAGTACTAACATTAGATCAAACAGTGCAGAGTCAATGGCTAATGCACTAACAGCATCACAACTGAGCCTAACAGCGCTAGGACCTCACGTAATAAACACCGAAACTCCTTCGCACGTCTCAGTTTCAGTAGAATCTGGAGATAATACCAATGTCGCTGTCATGGTTTAAAACTTCATACACCAATCACTACATATCACCATTCATGCACTTTAAAAAAACTTTGCACATTTGTACTATTGTCATTATTATTTAACTGTGTATATCTATTATTTTTGTGTTGCTTTGTGTCAAGTTTATGTTTGATAAAAGAAACCAAGTCTGTCTCTTCACAAATGAAACAGTGCAAGCCTGACTAATGAGCAGTGTTTATTAGATTATTAAGAACATCAAAGAGCAACAGCTCATGATAAAACTTCCTGTGCATACAGCAACAAACCATTGAGGGTTAAGACTAGTGCCATCTCTGTACATGCGTAAACTAGTAGTACTAGATTGCTACCTATTAAGTCAAAGCCTCAAGTCAAAGGTCATGCAACTATTGATGAACTTTCAATCTGAAATAATTATTTATTATTAGACTTGAAAATAGAAAAATTGGTTTGCTTCTTCATAGCAAATAAAAGCTCTGCATCCTTACAAGTTTTTATATGAGTCTACTCCTCTTTCTTAGACTTTTCATCTTTCTCTGGAGCCTTGTCTTGCTTTTTCTTCTTCTTTTTATATTTGACAGAATAAAACGGCTTGAAAGAGTCAATGACACCCATCTTATCATCATCGAGATTAGGAAGGAGCCAAAAGACTACTTTACCACTTGTAAATGTTAAGACTAAAGCATAAAGAAACCAGCGAACTAGAAGAGTATAACAGGAGACAAAATTTAAATTAGACAAAATAAAACATAACTGTAAATGAGTGGGTACTTACCTATGTACAGTGCTAATAATATGCCAAGCAGTATCATCATGATCACACTAAGGAACCACATTCCCAACTTAGAAGAGTCAGGCCATAGTGGCTGGAGTGTAAATCCAATTACTCCTAATACTAGACAAAAAGAATACTTGTATAAACACTTACCATATAAGAGAGGCAGAGCAAAACATTAATGGGTGCCAGCCTGTCTGGGAAAATGCCATGCTCACTGTTTTTGGTTTCCCAATACGTACAACTATCACTCTTATATATCTCCCCCTCTTGTAATGAGAAAAATTACCAGTTCATTATCTGTGTTATAGACTAAAAGGCGCTATGGGTGCAACAAGCTGCAATTGACGAATATGGAGAACAGTACAAGTATATGTGCTACTAAGACACAATGAGTTGCCAATTTGGAATTTGAGCCCAACATACACTATGCAGCAACACAGTTTATGAAATAGGAAACACATTTCTATTTCATGCAAGAAATGATGCATAGTGTTGGGTTACGTGATCTCATGTACTAGGAAACAATTATTACTACAGTGCCACTATCTATTTGTATTGATTACATTTGTCATAGAGACCAGACACAATTATAACAGGAACAACAAAAACAGTCTAATTGTTAGCCTATTGGATGACCCAATCAGTTTCTAACGTATCATTTCAGTGTGATCATAGGTTCAGCCTGATGTTTAGCATATAAGGAATCGATTGAAATAAATTGAGTTATATTAAGCCTGCCAAGGACATCATCAAAACATCACAGTTGCTAAAACAGTCAATAATGAACACAGCAGGTAAAACAACTACTCAACACTCCTACACACAAAGACACTGAGTCGGGTTCATGCACTCCTGCACCCTCCAGGTTACATAAGATCAGGTAATGAGTTTTGTCTCACAGCTGCAGATTATTTGATACGATAGTAATGTTTTTTCCTGTATCGCTAGAGCTGGCTCTATCTTGCCTTATTCAACTTGTCCCCATTCAATCCCCTTGTTGTAGCACTCTCCTTTTTAGTAGTTAGGAGATAAGCATAGCAATAATAAGTGCAAAAACCAAGGTACACATATTACATCCTCTGATATACTCTATCATTAATTACTGAATCATAAACAAATGGATGTTAGATACATGCGCATTAAGTCATAGGAACCTCCAGTGAATTTGATCACACAGTTATAATGGATTGAGAGGAAGTGGGTCACACTATTACATCTTTGTGGTTAAAACAGACTAAACAGTATTCACTAGTAGCTACACGTTATAATATGCATGTATGTACATGTACATGTATGTAATCTCTGTACTGTATTTACTAGCGACATGTATAGTAACAGGTTTTGTATGGCATCAATGGAGCCAGTATAGTGAGCATGATAAATGATCCCATTATCTTTCTCACATTTATTATTTAACGGTCCCAGCACATGATACTGTACTTGCAGGAAGTGAAGGAACGATGGACTGTTAATGGAATTAGGCATGTACAAGTACATGAATAACATCAAAATCAGTACAACAGATCAATCAATGAATCAGTACTGCATGTGTGACATGTATTGAGATATGTTATGGAACTCTTCATTGTACATACATGTATGTGTACAACAACTTACATAAAATGAGTCCTATTACCCATGTGTAACGCTGTGGCACTTCATATCTCCATATGTATATCTGCATACAAAAAGAAGGATTTTCAAAATAGGGTAACTTAAAAAATTTATAAAAAAATCCCACTGTGATCAGAATCAACTCAAAATTTATACAAAACCTAAGGATATGTATACATATCAGGAAAATTATAAAAATGGAGTTTTCTCTCTCTTTCATTTTTGACAAAATTTGGCCAAAATTCCTGTACTATAGTACAGGACTCTGACCGAATTTCACCAAAAATGACAAGGAGAAATCTGTCCATTTTAATAACATTTAAAAATATGTATACATGTTCTTATGTTGTGCTAAAAATTTGAGCTGTTTTCAATCAAAATTGAGATTTTTACAAATTTTTAAAGTTGCTTCAGAATCAGGCAAAGTCCTGTACACCATACTGCTCCTATGTGTATGTATTTTTGGTTTTAATGGGTTTTATGCTTATCATGGATGTTGTGCCTATAAAACTAAAATGGTTTTTGCTTGTCACGAAATTTGTGACAATGGAACTAATGGGTTTTTGCTTGTCACGGATTTCGTGACAATGAAATTAATGGGTTTTTGCTTGTCACGGATTTCGTGACAATGAAATTAATGGGTTTTTGCTTGTCACGGATTTCGTGACAATGAAATTAATGGGTTTTTGCTTGTCATGGATTTCGTGACAATGGAACTAATGGGTTTTTGCTTGTCATGGATTTTGTGGCAATGGAACTAATGGGTTTAATATAAGCCCATTAGTTTTTTATTAAATGTAGTTTTTATTTACTCCATTAGTTATTTCAACTCGTAAATTTTTGGTAATTTATTATTTAAAGAATCAATAATTACAGGGACTCTGACTTAATTTTTAAGCAACTTTAAAAGTTTGTCAAAAATCCAAACTTGATCAGAATCAGTTCAAACTTGCTACACAACATAAGTACATGTATATGTATCAGAAAAAACTATAAAAATGGAGAATTCTGTCCTAGTCATTCTGACAATACTATGGGTTATTATTACTATATTAATTCTGACTTCAATTTTTTTAGCTACAGCCAATTTATAAAAATGCCAAAGTTCTTATAAATATCTAAGGCTATAGCCCATGGTTTTTTCCAAAAAATGGCTCTGAAATCACCCCAAATTTTTATTACATTTTGTGATACATATTGATGTCCTTATGCTGTGTAGAAAGTTTGAGGTGATTCTGACTTTAATTTTTTGAGTTACAGCCATTTTAAGAAAATGCCAAAAATCTGAAAAATACCCAAGGCTATAGCCCATGGTTTTTTCCAAAAAATGGCTCTGAAATCACCCCAAATTTTTATTACATTTTGTGATACATATTGATGTCCTTATGCTGTGTAGAAAGTTTGAGGTGATTCCGACTTCAATTTTTTGAGTTACAGCCATTTTAAGAAAATGCCAAAAATCTGAAAAATACCCAAGGCTAAGCCCATGGTTTTTTTCAAAAATGGCTCCAAAACTACACCCAAATTTTTATTAAATTTTCTGATGCATATTGATTACATTTTGTGATACATATTGATGTCCTTATGCTGTGTAGAAAGTTTGAGGTGATTCCGACTTCAATTTTTTGAGTTACGGCCATTTTAAGAAAATGTCAAAAATCTGAAAAATACCCAAGGCTATAACCCATGGTTTTTTCCAAAAAATGGCTCTAAAATCACCCCAAATTTTTATTACATATTAAGGGTGATAGAGTACAGGGTAAAATATTGGGTGATCACTATATTGTGAATAATAACAAACATACTTCATCTGAAGAATCTTTAATATCTTTAACAGGAAGCCACTCTATTCTAAATCTTCTCACCTTCTAAAGTAATAAACATAATAACACATTACTAATGAAAGCATGTGGAAATATAAACAACTGTATAATAGAGATAAGCAGGATCTTAGGTTTTAAAAATATTATCAATTGTTTCAGCTAATTGGCTTGCAAATCGAAATAGAGCATAACAAACAAGGGGGTTACCATTGTGGGGGTGTGTATTTGTATAAGGTCTGAACAAACAGTTTTATTAGTATACAGTTTGGCAATTTCTATTTTCAATGTTTACACTGCAACGGAATAACTTTTGACTTTTAACGAAATCAGTGAAAGTACAAGAATGAAAACAACAGCCATTGATTAAGTATAAGTAATGAAAGAGAAGAAACACAGCTTAGTAAAGTAAGGCATTAAGAGTCTCAGAAATATAATAACACTTTTTAAAAAAAATGTAGGGAAAATCACATAAAGAAAAAAACAAGAATAGGTAACTATGCTAATCATAAACTAATAACAATGTGAATTACAACCAATATCAAACACTTGTCAACTGTATTGCTTATGATGGGATGCAAGCAATGGCTCTCTCACTTCATCATATGTTTCAAAAAATGAGCCACTTAAATTTACCCGAGACCTTGTTGCTGCTTCTTGATTCTCTTCATGCTGGCGAGGCCAACGCTTCCCAAACCTGATCCTTATTTTGTCCATTAAACTAGTCACCCACAGAAAATGGAGGAATATCACAACAGCAAAGCAAAAAGTGAGAACAGAATAAATGATGGAGAGAATAGTTATGAGACCATGTTCATTCTGATTCTTGAGAAAATACCAACCGGAACCGTATAAAATGGAGAGCAAAGACAGGAGAGCAAAATTAAGTATATTCAGCGACAGTCTCTTGTAAGGTCTGCACAATCCCTCCAGTCCAGTGTAAGTGACTAGTATTGGAGAAGCTATTGCGATCCCCAAAAAGAAGTCGTTCCCTCTGTACGTGACGTATATCATGTATATTATAAATACAAGAAGGAGTCTTAGGGGAGTAAATATCTCCATATTACGTTTATAAGGAGCATGAATAGCCTCATAAATGGGACGAATATACTCCCTGAGTTTATCATTACACTTCATCAGTGGCTTACCAGCTAGAAGTATGGTAATGTAAGCACCCAATATAGGGCCTGATACAGCTAGTGTAGTTATCATCAGGATTAAATGACTGCCATGACCATAGTCTAGAGTAGCATCTCTTAGCCATACGTGCTTAGTCTCATTCGTGCTGGTGTGAATGTCAATGGATGTGAACACGTTTAGCATCAATATGAGTATCCT